GTGTGCTTTTATAAACACGACTAGGCGCGGCGCGACCCGACTCGACACTATCGAAGACGAATGTTCGCGGCATAAAATAATTATAATCGCGTCGCGGAGATAAATTATAGTAAATTATAAACGGTACACTTACCTGGATTATCGTTGCAGCTTGTCCTGAGGGCTGGAGACAGCTCGTAATTCCGTCCCGGAATGAGGTTGGTCACGGTTCTGGAACACCGTATCGTAGAAAAAGAAATGAAGGTCCCTCAGGCGGCTTGGCACGTGGCGGTTGCTTTCAGTTCCAGCTTCCAATAGTGAATCGTTGGCGCCACGTTATGGCGGATAAATGTTATAGTCGTCGGGAGATTCTTTATTATTCAAGTATATTTGAGGAATGGGAGGTTATAGGTTCACTGAATGTAATGAAGTAAACCCGACACGAGATTTAAATATATAATAAATGTATAGTATATTCTTGAATAAAATGTTAATGTTATAAAGTTACAATCCTATGGTTATTTAACCTAAGTGTTAGTACTGGTTTAATATCTAGAACTCCATAGTAGGAGTGTGCCTAAGGCTAGAGTCGCTTTCATAGAGACATGTGAACTGACTATTGTTAATAAAATACGTCTGTCCGTTTCGGCGGTGCGCACAGAACTCCCGGAACGGCCGTCGCCAGTGCACACCTCAGTCCCCAGCCTCCCTTCGTTACGCGAAGAGAGGGTACTCGCGTGGTGGGAGGTACTCCCCGTGGCAGCCGCATGATGGCTGCCGTTATCGCGACGGCGTTATCACCGGTGGCAAGATGGCGCGTGCACGGGCGTGGCGTGTGTCGCAGCGGCTATGGCGGGCGGTGCCGACAACATGGCGGCTACGAGAGAGCGGTGACGTTGCTACGTCGCTCGCTCGTTCTTATACGTTTGATCGGTTATAATGTGTGATAATTAATATGTTTAACAAAGCCTATATATGGTTATGTGCTATAAATGATGTGTTATCTTACGAATAAATGTCGTTATATTATAATTACGATTATATGTTATTATGGTCTGTTTTTCGAAAGATGATGCCTGGGAGGTTGACCTGCCTCGGCGCGTGGCCTGGTGGGGATCCAACGCGAGCTACGTATTTCGTGCGACGTTGTGACAGACTCAATGCCACTGTGTGTCTCTTTCCATCCTCCAGCACTTCGGCACGAGAGCCTTTCGCTCAGACGCTTGGAAAACCAACTGCCTTCTTTACCCTACGATTTCCACGTATAACGTTTAATAACCTACGTATTAATTTAATTCCCTTTTAATATGTTGCTCAATATTTGGGTACACTACATCCTTTCAAAAGAAATAAACTTTTCCTTATTCGTGTATTTTAACTTTTGACGTGTGAAAACGTTCAGCCTCTCGTCAACATTCTCCGCCATTTCCAGACAATGGATGATTGACGGGTGCGTGCCGAACGCAGTCCCCACTCTTGGAGATTGTAGGTAGGTCCTTCTCGAGAGGTTTGTAATACGTGCGATGGAGACAGACGACCGTAGGCGAGGACTCATGTCGACGGTCGCACGTCATTGGCCAAGACGCGAAGAGTGAGAAAGACACAAGTGCCGTAGGTGTCTCGCGATCGCGACAACACCGCGGAAACTCGGGTCTACCTCCCAGGCATCATCTATCGAAAAACAAACCATAGTGGTATATTATTTTATGAATAAATGTTGTTATATAAATTTATTATAATTATGTGTTATTAATGATGCATTACCTTATGGACCTATAAGTATGTATATAAATATGTAACGAAGTTAAATTAAATTAGACGCGCGGACGTCACACTATCAAAATTAGAATATTAACAGAAACTTGCTTCGAGAGAAATCAGTATGGGTTCTGTAAAGGAAAATCGACTGCACATGCACTCGTAAGCGCAGTACAGATTTGGAATGAAGCTAACGATAAAAAACAACACTGTGTACTGATTACTCTCGATGCTAAGAATGCTTTTAATACAATTCAAACAACAAGCATCGAGGAAGCAATTAAAAGGAGAAAGTTTAGCCCGAAACTAACAAACATACTAAAAGATTATATGTATAGTCAACAGAGAAATAATGTATAAAGTGGAAGGTGTGTAATACACGAAAAAGGTCTACGCTGGGGTTTCACAGGGTTTCATATTGGGTCCTATCTTGTGGAACCTAGTGTATGACTCACTGCCAAAAATAAGACTTCCGGAATGTATAAAAATTATAGGATACGCAGATGATGTTGCATTAATAATACACGACAAAAGCACAGAGGAAATAATAATCAAAGTAAACAAGGCTCTGAAATTAATAGAAAAATGGTTCGATGGAGAATCAATGAAATTTGCTAGGGAAAAAACGGAAGTAATTCTGCTCACGGGCAGGAAATTAATTGACAGATTGGAAATTAAGATGGGAAATGTAAGTATACAAAATACGAGGTGTGTCAAATACCTAGGGGTACTAATTGAAGAAAATCAGGCGTTTAAAGCGCAAATAGAAAAAACATGCGAAAAAGCCACTAAAACAGCAGGTGCGTTAACCAGATTACTGGTGAATAATAAGGGACCCTCCTATCACATCAGGTGCCTCTATTACAGGGTAATAGAGTCTATTATCATGTACAGGGCACCAGTGTGGTACAGGGCCATGGATATTGCATGGTGCAGAAGTAAAATACATAGAGTGCAAAAGACGATGTTAATCAAACTAACAAGGGCGTACTGCACGACCTCACATGAGGCCTTGTGCGTCATGACGGGGCAACCACCATGGAGGATGCTAGTAGAAGAGAAGAAAAGAATTTTTGAAAGGCAACAAGAGGAAAAGAAAAAAGACAAAAATTTCATAAACAAGTATAAACTAAAGGAAGAAGAAAGAAAAAGGACTCTGGATAACTGGCAATTGAACTGGAACAGCGCAGAACACGGGGGATGGACACGACAGCTCATCCCAAACGTAAGGGAATGGGTGGATTGGGGACCGCAAATCCTTGACTACCACCTAACCTATTAGAAATAAATTCTACATTTTAGAGCACGTGTGTTTTAACTACATTTAGAGCTACATTTTAGAGCACTTTATTAATAAACTTATGCAATATTAATTATAAGTCTGTGTTTGACTGAATAAGACTGTTTCTGATCCCGGCTGATTATCCTGAACCACTAACTCTAACATAACCCAAAGCATAGAAGAGCACAGGTCCTACGGGGAATATTTAAATAAAATAAACAAAATAGACATTGCTAGATGCTGGTTCTGCAATGACGAAAAAGATGATGCAAACCATATTTTGTTTGAATGCAGTGAATGGACAGCAGACAGAGAACAAATGGACAAAGAAATCGGAGCTAAATTAACCCCTGAAAACCTAATAGTAATGTTAAAAAACGAAAAAAATAGGAAGATCATCAAAGCCTACATAAAGCAAATTATGGAAATAAAAGAAAATTATGACAGGGACAAAGAAAAGAAAGAAAAGAACAGATATAGAAACAGTAATAGAAACAATAACTAAAGTTAAACTAAATTAATATTAACCTCTACATAATTTTTATACTCTACTACAGCATCTCATCTTAATTCAAGCCTGGTTGTTCAAGATTGGCTGGGCCGCGGAATGACGTCATGTGCGCCGAGAAGCCAGCGTCGTCGCGGCGAGTTCGTACCGCGCGTCTCGCCGAGAAGTTCAATGATTATCGGACCGAATTCGGCAATCGTCGCCGGAGACAAGGAGTTTCGTCGCGGGTGTGGCGTACGTCTGTGCAAGTAGCACATACGCCATCTATAAAATAGGTCTGTAGTGTGAGTGCGACGGTTGTGAGCATGAGTGCGCGTGTGCGAGGATGTGCTCGCTGAACAGTTAATTTGAAATCGCGCGATGCCGAGTAAAGACAAAAGATGTAAACACTGTCATCGCGCGACAGCCGTCGAGGAGCGGAATGTGTGAGTGTGTATGTAAGGTCAACGGGCACCTGAGTTCGAAAGCAGCAGTGATTTTGCGCATGAAGAAAGGCAGTACGTTGTATGCTTGGAGACGAATTGGTATGCGAGAGACGTGTGTTACGGTTGTTGTACGGTTTGCTTAGTGTTACCATTTTGTTCTTTTCCTTATATTATCTCAACATTCATATTATTATTACTTTTATTTTTGTATTATAATACAAATAAAACCTACAGTTCTTAAGACAATAAAGTTCCTAGCTTATAGAGATTTTTATATTTATAGGTTATTGAAACTGTATTGACTGATTCATGCAGAATACAGTCAGTCTAATATAAAACTCCCGTCAATAGACACGCGTGAATAAATAAAGTCAATCTCCAAGCTCATTGCACGAGTCGATTGTTATACGTAGTCTGCCCAATAAATACGCGAACTGATGCTATAAAAACTTTATTTTACAAAATTTAGGGTACATCAATCTTATCCCCTTCAAAATACTCCCCATTTGTAGCAATACACTTGTCCCATCTCCGTTGCCATTGTTGAAAACATTCCTGGAAGTCTTCAGACGTCAGGCTTTTCAGTAGTCTTGTCGTTTCATGTTTTATCGATTCCACGTCGTCCCAGTGCCGCCCCCGCATGACCATTTTACATTTCGGGAACAAAAAGAAATCGCAGGGGGCTAAGTCTGGTGAGTAGGGGAGGGTGATGTAGCGTGGCGATCGAATTACGAGCCAGAAACTCGCGGGCAATCACTGCTGAATGTGCAGGCGCATTGTCATGATGCAGCAGCCATCCATCACCACCACACAATTTTGATCGCACTCGCCTCACACGATCCCTCAAGCGCTTGAGAACCTCCACGTAGAAGGCAGCATTTACTGTTTGTCCTTCAGGAAGAAATTCATGGTGGACAACACTATGAATGTCAAAAAAAACGAGCAGCATGACTTTGATTTTTGATTGGCTTTTTCGAAATTTTTTCGTTCGTGGTTCATCTTTTGCTTTCCATTCCTTGCTCTGTGATTTCAGCTCGATGTCGTACTCCTAGAACCATGATTCGTCACCAGTTATGATCCTTTCAAGCCAACCGGAAGTTTGAACGGAGTTTTTCCAGTCAGTGCAGCATTCGGTCCTTCTTAACCTTTGGTCAGGTGTCAGCAACTTTGGGACAATTTTTGCACACAATTTTCTGAACTCCAAATGTTCTGATACAATCGTGTGCACACATGATTTTCCTAAATTCAGTTGATCAGTAATCATCCGGACAGTGAGTCGACGATCGGAAAGCACTAGAGACCGCACACGTTCAATGTTTTGATCAATACAGGAGGTCGACGGTCGTCCTGGCCTTGCATCATCCGTGCAGTCTTCACAGCCCTCACTGAAGCGCTTGATCCACTTGAAAAGAGCTGTTTTCTTCAGTGCGTTACTTCCATAAACAGCCCTCAACATTTCATGAATTTCCTGAGAGTTTTTCCCAAGTTTCACCAAAAATTTGATATTGAGTTGTTGTTCCATCTGTTCATTAATCTCCATCGTCGACAAGAGCAAAAAAAGGATGCCACAAAAAAAATACCGCCTCTAGCTGTACGTTCGCCTCGACGGTCTGTCCCCCGCCAACAGAGCAGCCGGTGCGCATGGCTAAACTTCAACTCAAAGCCACCCTAGTAGCCCAGTTCGCGTATTTATTGGAGAGACTACGTATATCCTATCAGGATATTAGAAATGATACATATAATAAGTTACAACCCAGTCTAAAGGAGGATAACATAAAGGTAATAATATTATTACGTCTATGTTATCAAATGAATCTAATTGGGAAACCATCACTAATCTTATAATGAATATCATAAAAGCTAAGGAAGATAAAGAGAGAAATAGACATAGAAGTATATAGTTGTCATAATTTAATCTATTAAATTAAGTAATTAAGTAAAATAAAAAATATAGATATATTTATTTATATTTACATATACAGTGGTACCTCGACATACGAGTTTAATTCGTTCCGTAACCTTGCTCGTATGTCAAATTGCTCTTATCTCAAAGCAATTTTCCCCATTGAAATTAATTGAAATGCCATTAATCCGTTCCAGCTCCCAAAACACCACCTCAGTTGTTTTTGTTAAGTGTTTTTGAATAAGAAAAATGTATTTACAAGAAGAAACATTTATTTATAAATAACAAATACATATTCTATAAAAACATAATAAAAGAAAAAGTGAAGTGCTTACGGAAGCGCTTAATTTTCGTCACTGTTCTTCGCTTTTTTCGTCATGCTTTGCTTATTTTCACCTGCAGATCGTTTAAAAAAACTGTCCAAGGAGGTTTGTATCTTCCTCCCTTTCAGGATATTGCGGAAATGAGTTAGGCAAGTTTCGTTGAACAACTCCGATGCACGACCAGTTGCAACTTTTTCGGGGTGATTTTTATCCACGAACTCTACAACTTTCTCCCACATTCCCAAGATCTCCTTTATATCTCTTGTAGAGATAACCTCCTCCATCTCTGGCTCCTCTTCAAAACTAATTTTTCGTTGAACCACCGTATGCCGCTGCGAATGTAGATCGTGTAACTCCTCGGTTGTCAGCTCCTGAGACTGTTCCTCGACGAGTCCGTTCACATCTCTCTCATCCACCTCCAGACCCATGGATTTTCCCAGAGAAACAATCTCCTCTACCACTGACACTTCGGGTTCCAATCCTTCGAAGGCCCTTTCAGCTACAGCCTCAGGCCACAGCTTCTTCCATGCAGAGGTTAAGGTCCTCGTTGTAACACCCAGCCAGGCCTGATCAATAATTCTTAGGCATATCACGATGTTAAAGTGGTCCTTCCAGAACTCTCGAAGGGTAAGGTTTGTCTTCTCCGTCACCTCCAAGCAGCGCCGAAAAATGTGCTTGGTGTACAAGTTCTTAAAATTAGAAATCACCTGCTGATCCATGGGCTGCAGGATAGGAGTGGTGTTGGGTGGTAGGTAGAGAACATTTATAAACTTGAACTCTTCGAGTAAATCATCTTCGAGATTTGGTGGGTGAGCAGGGGCATTGTCGAGGACGAGAAGGGCTTGCATGGGTAGGTTGTTTTTCTGTAGATATTTTTTAACAGAAGGGCCAAACACCAGGTTTATCCACTCCACAAAGAATTTCCTGGTAACCCACGCCTTCGGATTTGCCCTCCACATAACTTGCAGTTTTTCTTTTAAAATCTTATGTGACTTAAAGGCTCTGGGATTTTCCGAATGGTATACTAGCAGAGGCTTGATTTTGCAGTCGCCACTCGCATTGGCGCAAAGTGCTAGAGTTAATCTATCCTTCATGGGTTTGTGACCTGGCATCGTCTTCTCCTCTGCCGTTATGTAAGTTCTATTGGGCATCCTTTTCCAGGAAAGTCCTGTCTCGTCACCAATTATTTTGTAATTTCACTTTGTAACAGGATAGAATATGATTGTGTAGAATACCCACGGGAGGCATGGAGAGGGTAAGCGCTCGCGAGAAAATCCCACGATTCTGGCATCACTGGTCTGAGGTGGGAGAAACTGTTAACGCAGCGGTGTAGTGTGCGATTCCTCGTATCTCAAATCTTGCTCTCATCTCAAAGCAAAATATCGCTCGCTCGGCGGCTCGTATCTCAAAACACTCGTATATTAGGGCACTCGTATATCGAAGTACCACTGTATATATAAATTAAAAGTACATATGCAAACGTATGCAGGTCGACACATATATTCGTGATTAAATCAGGAGCCGTTTGGAGACGGTCACCTTCCCCTGTGGTAATATCATGATGGTGGAACCAGGGGGAGGTGCTGTGGGTAGAGGAGAGGTATTGTAACCCAAGAGGTATAGTATCTCGCGGGAATAAAGAAAAAAAAAAGGTATGGATATAGATGAGGAAGGAAGTAGGAGGGAACAGGAAATGGATTGGGAAATGGAGGTGGATGAGAGGATCCAAGGTATAGCCCGCTAGCTTCACCAGATGTAAGGGAGGATGTAAGGAACGAGGAGTCCGGAAAGACTGATATCCCCTCACTACAAGAGGAGTTCGTAAATGAGAGAAAAATCGGGGAGAGAAGTGAGTAGAGTAGATTGTTTGGTAATTGTAACTTTGGTATTAATATGAAGGAGGGAACAGGGTATTTGTATGACCATAAATACACTCTGTCGTTCGAACGAAAGTTGAAAAAGAGTAGGGGGCTGAAACTAAGTGAGATTAGGGAGGAGGAGGAGCAGGAAATTATCACGCTGGACTAAAAAGTGAGGTGAGAAAGTAAAAATGGATAGTTCTCTTTCTTATGCACTGTATGAATGAAACATAGGCGTATATTAACAGGGTATGTGAATATTACGCAGCATAATAAGTAGGTGCTGGATTTCAATAATGTATAGGTCAGGGAGTTATGGGGATAAGAAATGATTGTGGGTAAAAAGAAAGGAGAGGAAAACATACGTGGGAAATGAATAAGGGTTTAAGGGAAAAATGAGTGATGGGGAGTGATAAATAGATGGTGATGGAAGTATGGAATTTACAGGGAAAAGAGATTAAGAGGGTAGAGAATGGAATAATAATCAGTATATAAAGGGTGGTAAGGGATGGAATAGATAGTAATATTAAAATTATACTATATTTCATAATGTACTCCCTTGGAACAATCTAGATGTCATTACCGTTTTACCCGGCATCACCAGAAATGATAATCTAGGGAACCATGTCGGGGGGGGGCGAGGCTGGATCAGGTTTTCGCAGCGAGGGGTGCGTAGGGGTCTTCGGGCTCCTACGTAACACTCTGACCTGCGTCAAAAACCACGATGGAGCTGATGTTCGACCTACAATCAGGCGACACTTCGGTGTCGTCTGCTGCGGCGAACTTCGGCGAAGTCGGCGGGCGCGGTCTGGTCAAATCCACTTACACCACCTCCACGTGATGCCCCCTGGGACCCTTGGCGGCTTCGGCCGTCAAAGGTGCTAACAGTATAAGTGGCAGGAGAGTGAGGCGGTGGAAACCGAAACATGGCAGGGCTCCAGGGGCCCTCGGAACCCCAGGAGCCGGCGCGGGTGCGGTTGTTGAGCGGGTCGCACCCGTGTCGTCATCTGACAACCGCGAGGACCGGTTGGTGGACCACCAGGCCACCGGGTTCCTATCTACTACTGGTGGTGAAGGAGGTGGGAGGAAACACAAGATGGACAGTACAACAAAGGAGTGTAACGTTACTGCTGCAGGGGAGCTCGGTGCCCCAGGAGCCGGCGCGGGTGTGGTGGTCAAGCAGGCCACACCTGCGTCGTTATCCGACGACTGCGGGGCCCGCTTGGTGGACCACCAGGCCAGCGGTGCCTTAACGGCTACTGGAGCAGGAAGGGGTAGCAATACCCCTTCAGAAGCGGTGCCTGGCCCGTCGGGGAAGGCCCGCCCGATGACGGGAGGTGCACCGATGGTGCGCCTCCGGCGCCTCCCTGACGGCCTGGTCAGGTGCTCCAGCTCCAGGAGCATCGACCGGGTCGTCGCCATCAGCGACGACGAGGATGGGGACTCCGATGCGTCGGCCGTCTCCGCCTCGTCGTTCAGATCGGGGGTGGTCAGCTCTGGCGCGTCGACCGGCCGGAAGAGGGGGCGGCTCCCTGCGGCCAGAGAGAGGCTTGGTCTCGCGGAGGCTAAGCGTAAGCTCATTAAGCTTACGCTTAAGGGGCAGGGCCTCCGCGAGGAGGACATCGAGGACCGGGCGGTGCCGCCGCCCCCGGTCTCCAAGTCGTGCAAGAGGCTGCCACCGGCAGACGCGGTGGCAGAGGAGATGCGGTGCGCCCCTACGCCGGATCTGGGTGCAGTCATAAATGACCGCATCCAGGTCATTGAAAAGGTGGCGCGATGCAGCGCCAACTTGAAGGGGACAAACGTCCGGGCGCTCCGCGAGGCCGCTCTGCAGATCCGCTATGCGGCTGCGGAGCAGGCCAAGCCGACGGTGCTCTCCGAGCGGGAGCTAGTGCTGGAGAGCGAGGTGCGAGACCTCCGCGCCCGGCTCACCGCTGTGGAGGCGCTGCCCGCGCGGCGGGAGGCCGGACGGACGTCCCCGGTGGCGGAGGTGCTGGCGGGGAGTGTGGCGGGGACGACGGGGGCCCCGGTCCCGATGGAGGTCTCGATGGAGGGCGGGGACCCCGTCGGGGCCTTGATGCCGCCACCGCCTGTGCCGCCGGCAAGGGGGCCGGCGGGGTCGGGGGCGGTGGCGCTGCCACCGTTGCCCCCTCGGCGGCGGCTCGAGCGGGCCGCATCGGCCGCTGTGGCGGCGATGGAGCCGCGGCCAGCTCCGCGGTCGCCTCCGCCTGGCGGGGTGTGTCGGGAGGAGCGCCCCGTCGCCATGGCGGCGGTAGAGAGGGCCGTGGAGCGGCGCGTCGGGCGCCTGGTCGCCGAGATGGAGACGCGCCTAGTGGAGCGCCTCGGCGACTTGCTCAGCGGCGGCGGCCGGCGGCGGTCCGCGGGTCCGCCCACGGCTGGGGCCC